ACACTTATAAAGGTGTAAATGGTCCAATTTTCAAGGTTAACTCTAAATTTTCGAAAACGACATAAGTTTGAATATTTTTTCGGAGTCTTCCTATTACATTACCAGCAACTTTTACATATTAATAGATTTGTAAGTACAAGTTATTCAAATAATAATGTAAAGTTTCTTGAAAAATAAAAATAAAAATAATTTCTGCACCTTTCCATTTATGATTTCCCTCTGTAATATGTTTATCATGACTAACTTGTTTCATCCTAATGACATGGCAAAAATTCATTTTCTTATCTTATTTATCATACTATCAACCCATTATTATATTCATAATATTATCATCAATTCTTATTGGATAACTATAAAATTAAAGATTTTTTCTTGACATGAAATTTGTTGTCCATAATTTGTTCTTTCATTAAGGTCAAATGCATGTATTTGAAATTTTTTTTGTAGTTTTCACGCGATTTGTGCAATTTAAAAAACTACAAACATGATTTTCTCAAAAACAGCACCAATTTTTTTCTTTAAATGTACGGATTATGCAAAACGCACTCTATAAAGTGACATAAACTACATATTGCTTTATTCTTTTTGTATTCAAAATTTACAAACTAGTAATTTTTTTGACTTGTCTCTCGTGTCGTTAATATTAGCAAATGAGGCAATTTGTTCATATAATTGTATTTATAAGTACAAAATAAATAATGCCAGTTAAAGCTTATCGAAAACTCACCCGTTTTCTGAAAAACCTACCTCAAAATTTTTTTCAGACACGCTCAAATGCCATTTTCTCAAAAAAAGTTCGTATATTTTTCTTCAAACGTGTCGAAAGGATAGTGCTGATTGCACACTTTAATATGGCGTAAAGTTCATTTCTTTAATATTCTTAAAATAATATGGGCGGCGATAGGTGGCAGCTGGCAAGAGTATGTAGCAAGTTCGAATAGCTAGCCGACACCAAAGGAAATAGAAAACCAATACGGGAAAGTCGTTCCGTTGCACCACTAGTTTGTTATATTATTATTTAACAAAGACCAGCTTTATTTTCGAAACTCATCAGGACATTTTCTAGTTTCGAATTTTCATAAATAAATCAGTGATAATTACGCACTTCAGTTATAAAGTATGATAATAAACAAATGAAAAGGGATGTTTTAGAGGACGTTTTTGAAATGTATTTGCTTTTAATTGATTGGAGATTCCGTGCGCGTCAACAGCAATCTTTATTAGCCCCGTAAGTGCAGTGCACAGACTATAGTGAGATCCGGCACCGACCTTTCATCGGCTAGCGGTGTTCTCCCCAACCAGAAATATTCGACCAGCGAGGCACCGCCCCAGCGAGAACAAGGTCTAAGCTCCCAACCGGTCTCCCGGCATGTGCGGTCGAGTAGTGCATGTATGGGGTAAGTGTGTGTAAAGAAGGGGGAGAATAAGACAAGGAAGAGGAAGGAAAAATCGCATGCTGTCCGTGGCCCGTTTGTTAGGGTACTGTTCCGACATTCGCCTAGTAGTGAACGGAAAAACCATGAAGAAGCTAGAATTATCCTCCAGACGACTGAATTCGAACTAGCTATCTGGCCAGAATCGAAATTCGTGCCATCATCTGGACGAAAACCTAGGATCTCCCGGTCAGAGGCACTACAATGACATCAGTTGATGCGCTGAGTCACCTCTCCCGGTAAAAGCATTTGTACCATAAATAGTATACATATTTATTACAACAACTATGCTCATATCCAAGAGAGAACCAAATAGAGAATTTAAGTATTACTGATGTCAAATTTCAAATTCAAATAGTGGTGCTACATCAGCACATTTATTCTGACAATATAATTAGTTTTAATCTAAATTTTTAATTTTTGAAAATTATATCCGCGCCATTTTATTGCCGCCTTCTTTTATCAATGTAAAATATTTAAAGAAAAAAATTGAGCGGTTTTTGCTATTTTTTTTTACTAACTGCATAAATTACGAAGTCAAATTACGCGAAACTACTCCATTTCTGAAAACATTGTGCTTGACATTTTTAGAGCTGATTTTTAACAACAGACAGTCTGAGGTAAATATATTTATCTTCAATTCGTGGTTTTGAAATGTTCACTTTTTGCAACTTTCGAAAAAACGGAGAGTTTGCTGAAAATGGGACTAGCACCATATTTTTTGCCCCCCCCCCCTCCTTATTACATATCAGTGAAAAATTAAAGAATACATTCGGAGCGGTTTTTGAGAAAAAACTGATTTTTTAAACTTCCCTGTTAAGACCGCTGTGCACTTTAAGGAAGTTGAGAGGACTGTATGGTTTTATGGTTCGTGCAAAACAGTCTGAATCCCTAAAAGAGCTTCACGGAGTGCGGGGTTCAGGGTTGTACATCAGACGCAGAGACGTAGGTATTTGCACAACAATTCGTTTATTCTTGAGCCCAGAAAGGTCACAGGCACAAACATACAATATACAGTTATTTGTTAATTGGATTACATTTAGAATACACTCTACTTAGCATAAGTAATGCTCGCTGTGAGACATTAAGATGAATTGCAATGCTCGCTGGAGACATTGAAGTGAATTTTGCGTAAGGAAGAATGCCGCTTGCTACTTACGGAGTTCGAGTGAGGACACACACGTGCAATTACAAGGCGTTTTGAACTGATCATTGCTCGTTGTGAGACATTAAAGTAAATTAGCGTAGAAAGCATGCTGTATGCTTCATAAAGAGTTCAAATCACTGACTATATTTCGCGCAAAATTGAACGAAAACTATTCATATTTTCGCGATATTAGTCATGAATTTATTTAAAGAGATGTCTTTAAAGAATATATTTCATTAAAAAATCTCTTTTCTTCAATATTGTAGTTGTATGAAGATGCCCGGAAAATTGCACTTGTCAATATTTAAAAAAATTGTGAATTTCAACGAACATGAGACCTGCACCATTCTTTTATGCGTCATTTACGCTATTTCAGGACAAAGTTTAATCAAAAAGTTAGAAAAAAATTGGGACAATTTTGAAATTGCTCACGCTGGTGTCACGTCACCAGCTCACGCTGGTGTCACGTATTTGGAATTATTAGTCACATCTTGAATACCTTGCGCTACAATCTATTATTACTAATTTCAAATCAGTGAAGAAATTGCAAGAAGACTTTGCAGCCTCAGACCTTTTGTGAGATGTCTATGGTTTCATGATACCTAGGAAACCGGGGAAAAAACATCCATACTACTAATTTACATTGAGAGCAGAAATTGGAAGAAAACTACGCACACTCCGGCCTTTTCAACTGTGTATTCTGGTTTTGTTAAACGAAACCGTGAGAAATGAAAAAAATAATTCAGTTTCAATTTTTGACAAAAAATTTAAATATTCAATTTCTTACTCCGTCTAGGCTGAGACTTGTTTGATCAGACCTACTTTATTTGAAGATCGGCCAGCAAATGCAGTTATAACGAGTTCGTGCGTTAGGACTTGTGACGCTCGTTTGGGGTTCAAAATTGCTCAACATTTCTCATTTCCCTGCAAATCGTGAAACACAAATTACTGTAATTGAAGATCTCATTTCCAAAATGATTTATCACCATGAAACAATTCTTCAGGAATTATTCACGTAAAGTCTTATATTTCCAGATAGGGTTCAACGGTTTACGGATAATGTTTAAAGAGGACAAATGCAATTTTAACATGATGAAGCGTCTTAAGAATAATATAATTGTTGCACAACGAGAAGGATCTTTGCTTATACGCTATTAATCGACTTTCGAAGTCGGCGCATTGGTGATCTTCAATGTTACAATAAAGTGATAGCGGAAAACGCCAATCCACTAAAATTATCAGTGTGTCAATTACGATTGTAATCGCATGATTTGAGTCAGATGTCATTTGTGTAATAAAGTAGTCACGTGTCACAGTATATGAAATTTCTTGCTGCAGCGTCAGTGTGTGTTAACTCTTTAATCTCATGATAAAGCATCGTGTGGATGGCATGAATCTGTATATTCAATTATCCGTAGCATAATATTTCAATATTTATATAATTCAATATTATTATACTATCGTATATAGGCTACGAATAATTGTACATACAAATTAATGATATAAATCCGATGCTTAATCACGAGTATAAATTACTTCTTTTAAAAACGCATAGAGTATAGCAGGTCTCATTGCACAAGTGCAAATCAAAAGGATGTGTCATGATGGAAATTTAACGCACCCTCTGCCATCATAGTTCAGAATTACTGACGTTTAAACAAACAGTTGTGAAAATACTCTTTCTAGACTTCACACCCTACTGATCACGTGGTTAACCTAATAACTTTTCACTCTACATTCTGCAAACACTCTATTGATATCTAAAGGTAGAAAAGGAAAAGGAGATATTCGTTTTAGAACAAAGCTCTTGTTTCCGTGTGCTTGCGGAGCGAGTGCGGCACGCGGCGTGGGCGGCGCTCACCTGACGGAGGCGCCGCGCTGCAGCGCGCGGATCAGCCGCCCGCGGTCGTCGTCCGGCCGCGCGCGCCGCCGCCGCTTCTTGCCCCTCACGGTGGCTGCGGCACGCCCTCCGCCCCGCGCTCGCACGCACGCCGCTCGCGTTCTCTTCTGCCTCCGATAAAAGCTTTTGATTCCGCAACACTTTCACTCAGTCTCCGCTAGTTGAGGAACCGGGGCGATTTCAGGTTCGTCGAGAGCTTCGTGAATACACGATTCTTTCAAGAGTTCGTGGTCCCGCACACTTTAATGACTCAGCGGGAAGGACTTTTCGGAGTCGTGCGGCAACGCCGTAGAGCGCCGCCGTTGGACTGGTGTCAAGAATGCGAAGCTTTGTCACGATTGATCGGTTACTGCGGTTAATGTCCTTCGGGCCAGGCCCTCCTGGCACACTGGGTAGGCGCAAGTTTCTCTTTTTTGCCTTCGCGTAACACTTTCCTCCCAGTCCTCGTTCCAAGCTTTGCTCTGAAGAGCGAAGTATTTAACCTCTTCACGGAGGAAGGAGGTACGCGAGGGGACGGAGCTTAGATGTCCTTCTTGGTCTCCTTGTCGTCGCCGTCAGCGGCGGAAGGGGGAAGTTGGGCAGCGGTGGTGTCTTCGTCGGGTGAGTCGGCGACGTCGCTCTCCTTGCCGTCCTCGTCGCTCTTCTCCGCCTGCAACAGCTTCTCAGCCTCCGGGACCTTCTGCTTACTGTTGCCCTTACGTTGGTCGCCGTTTTTGCGCTTGTCGCCGTTTTTGCGCTTGTCGCTGCCTTTGCGTTTGTCGCTGTCCTTACGCTTGTCACTGTCCTTGGCCTCGTCGCTGCCCTTGACCTCGTCGCCGTCCTTGCTAGTAGAAGCCTCGCCGGATGAAGAAGGCAATTGCTGTGCGCGCAGCAACTGCTGGGCCTCCTCTTCGTTGCGACGGCGTAGGATGCCCGGCAGGTAGAAGCAGGCTTGCACCAGACGCAGCAGCACCCAGGCAGCGAAGGCGAGCGCCAGGTAAGAGCACGAGGACACGATCATCTTCACCACGTCTACGCCCACGTGCTGGTGGCGCATGCTGGAGAGCCGGCCGCTTCACCAGGCGCAAGCTCGAGCTCACGCTCACACTCGATTGTCTCAATGCAGGACTTGAGCATCTGCCACCGGAAGCAAAGAGGTAGGGTTGCTTTGCCCCAAACTCGACTTTCAATCTAAGAGGCGACGGTAATCTGGTGATCGTAAGTGGATCTTCTCGGCATGTAAAACACTCAGCGTCAAGTTAAAGTTTGTAATTATAAAGAACTAAATAAATAACAAGTCTATACACTACACGGTGAACTCCCCCGTCTTTTGAAATCTTCATTAACGTCCTATGAAAACGAACGCCCACGCGTTATATCGCCAATAAACTTTGACCTACTTTGAATCATGTTGATGACTGTTGTTTCTTCAATGTATAAAATACACGGTACCAAAACTCTAAAGTGCTCTGCAAAAGTACCAACCGCCGTTTACAAGTGTTCCTCCATTAATGTCCGGAGAAACGCAGGACAAACGTCGCGCAGGACAGCGAATGGAACTGTAACGAATTCTACAGGTAGTACTGAGGAAGGAGTCCGTGGCAGTACCCGCGATCGATAAAAATGATCGGCGTAAGCGCGAGGGGAAGGAGGAGGTGGAGGAGGGAGAAGGGGGTGGAGAGGGGCCGGGGAGGGACAGCGACGAACACACGCCGCGTTGTCCCGGGATACGCCCCGTTTACCGGTCTCGCGCGGCCTCCGATGTGGGATCGAGC